CGAGAAAGGTGCGGCCATGCTGTTTTCGCCCAAGTCTTGCCAAGCAGCGGCACCGACCGTGCAGGAAGCGGCGAGAGCGGCGACCGAAGCATCGTCGTCGGGGCCTGCCCTTACCGGAAAGCCCCTCTGGGAAGCGATCATCCAGAGTGTTCTTCATCAATATACTATCAACGGCGAAGAAGAACACATCGTGTGTAACTTCGGCAATGGTCGCGTGAAATGCCCACACTTCTTCGAAGCATGTGAAGAGCATCAGACAGCTGTGGTCACAGGGGTGAGGTCCGGTTCTGATAGGTTGCGCCCCAACGAGACCATGCTACGATCCCATCAGATTCGACTGCGAATTGATGCTTGTACCACGGGCAAAGGCGAACGCAGTCGAAGAATTCCACCTCGCCGAGCAGTTCTACGAGAACGACACATGGTACGACGTGCTGAAGGGACGAGTGGCAGCTCGTGAGTCGCGAGTGGGAACTGGCCGGGATGCGCCTGACGCGTTCCCCGCGTATCACGGCGCAGCACTGCCTGAGAATGGCTGTCGAGTACTTGGTCACGAGGCGCCTGCGCACCACGTCCATTGCAAACGTGTCATGTTCTGCTATATTCGATTGGAGCAAAGCACTGTTCGTTGAACACGAATATCATTCCATGCATGCGATTCCGTTCTTGTGGCCTGACAGCGTCCATGACCGAGTCTGGCGGGGAAAGCGGGACACGTGTTCTCAAGCCACAGATGCCCGGAAGCTCTACGCGCTCCTGAACGCTGGCATATTCTTCCCATCCAGAGAGAGGTGGGGTATGAGAGTTAAGACGGATCAGAAAGCGAAGACGAAAAGGTTTGCCGGAGGTGCGCGCGCCCTCCGCGACACTGATCAGATCCACCTGCCCCGCCAGCACTGCAGCCGCGGCGCGGAACTCTGGAGTGACGGGAATCTGGTAACCACGAACTTCAAGGTCACCACCCCGCCGGCGGAAGCAGGTGGTTTCCGCCCCGTTGGCGCGGAGATTAAGGGGAAGAAGCAATATGTGTGCGACAAGCCTGAACTCATAGTTAGGCTTTCCCTAAGACTATACTTCATGACACCCAGCCAGGCCAATCAACGACAGATTTGGGTCTTTCATCCGCAGCATTCTCGCCACTTCGAGGTGGATTACAGGGCGCTTGTGGGCCCCTCTCCCGATCCAGAGGAAGGTTCCGAAGTGGAGAATTGATAATGCCCTGGCCGAAGAGATGCGTAGACAGCAGCCTCGCACCGAATTCCATAGGGCAGGCGTGCTGAGGCATGTGCGAGGCCTCCTTCAGTCAGCAACACAGAGGGATATCGCGGTTGAGATGGACCAGCTGAGGAGGAAGCGCGTGCGATTTCTGGAAATATAGAGGACTGGCCGCTCTGTGAACTGCATTCTGACTTTCTGATCACTGAGCGCTTTCATGCGCCAATCCTCGTGGCCCATGGCCTTCAGGACTTCGTGACTCCCCTCGTTCAAGCCGGCCTATCGCGAGATCGTCCTGATCTGCGGACAATGGGAATCGACGAGTCCATGCCCAGAATCTCAGATCACGATTGGAAGCTCTCCCGCGACGAGAAGAAAGAAGAGGAATCCAGAGGAATACCTGATCAACCTGCCACGGATCATGTCCCAGGCAGCGTCGAGCCCAATTGGCCGCCGAGGTCCAGAAGCGTCGTGCGCCGTGGAGGCCGTGAGGCAATGCTTGAGGAAGCAGCAGGCAATTGCCATTAATCTCGGTCGGGAGGGCGACGCTCCGGTTGAGGCAACATCGGGCATGCTGGCTTTAAGCGCTCATTCACTGCAAATCGCAGGCGGCCGCGCTTCAAATTCCCCGACGGGGTGCCTCCTGGCCAGCAGCGGGATCCCCGACAGGGAGCTCCGGACTACCAGCCTCCGCTCCTACCAGAGGCTACGCTCGTGCCTATGCGCAACATAAGCGTAACAGCATCGCCTGCGGCGTCTTACATAGAGCAGATCTGGATTTGCCCAACGCTTGGTTGTTTCAGGACCACCAAGGCAGTTGTTTCTCAAGATGAGAAGATCCATCTAGTGCGCCGATGTTGCCACTGCAAACAGAAGACAGCTGTGCACCTGGATCGATGCCCGCCGAGGCATCGCGCCTATAGCCGCTGGGCAGACGCCCATGGCGGAAAAGCGCCAGCCGACGTCGTAGAATACGAGAAGAGGGAATACCAGAGGTGGTGCAAGCAACGGACTACCGCGGTTGATTTAGACGTGGGCTCGGAAGACCCTGTGTCAGACCAGGACTACAGAGCAAGGCAAGCTGCGGAATCCCATGACGACGGCCATGCTGTGGAATCGTCAGGAGAAGAAGAAGGGTCAGCAGATGCGGTCGGCCATGCCGACGTCGCGATGATACAAATCGACCCGGAGACCCGACCGTACGTCGTCAGACAAGGGCCCCCATTCGGCAAGGAATACTTCCTGATCGAGGGTACATTGCCGCTCCCCAAGAATAAGCAGGTATCAGAAGAAGATTTTGGGAAGCTCTACCCACGACATGACTGTGCTGAGGACCTCGAAAATCTTGGACTTGAGCACGAAGAGCTGACTTACGAAGGCATTGTCGGCCAGGGAAGGCGCAGCCTTCTCTTGGCGACGCCCGGGTTCAAACAGGAACACATTTCAGCAAGATCCCCGGCACGAGCTCGTCTCATAGACGAACTGCATTACAACGGACTCGTATTAGCCGGCCAACGACTCGGCCGCGCACTTATCAGCGACAGGCTCTCCACTTATGCTGACCGCGTCCCCGATCCGCTCTTGGATTACATCCGGCGTCTACCCGCGGGTGAGCGCCCCATGTTGGAGAATTATCTGAGAGCCCGATACCATGCGATCGAGAGCCAAAGCTTGCCTGGACCGGACCATGCCCTGGTACCCATGTATCCTCACTTGCGTCCGAAGCTCTACGCTATCGCGAGTGAAGTGGGGCGCAATGAGGCTTTTCGACTAGGCGGGCTGATAGTTCACCTCCTCCGTCACAGCTCGGCCCGCGCTGAGCTCGGGAGGATGGGTGGGCGTGGATGTGCTGATACGCGTGCTCACAGGCGTCGGCTATGATCGCCCGCGGGCTAGATTCATGCACGCTTTCTTCGTGCTTGACCCAAGGGACGTGCAGATGCTAGGGGAAGAGATGGACACAGCAGACACTGGCCCGACATCCCGTCCCATGACTGGGATGCAAGCTTCGCCGAAGTCGTTCGCAGAGGGGTCGGAGCGTCTGAAATCGACGGAGCTACAGACGCATCCTTCGCGGAAAGTGAGGAGGTGCAGATATTTATGGTTCCCACAATTCGCCCGCTCCTTGCCAGGGCCTTCTACGGCGACTCACTGAGGATCATCATTCCATATCGACGGAACGTACTGTATGACCCGAGTATGAGCGAACAACATGGAGCCTTATTGTTGCCGTTGACTGCTGCCGACGTTCAACGCAGTCAGAGAGGCCCAGTGGCTCCCCTGTACGACGAAGCTACGGGCCTACGTCAATACGGAACCGTGGCTTACACTGTCGCGCTATCTCCACATGCGTCAAAGATCCATGATCTCGAGGCGCTGGAGGAAGTGTTCGAGCCACTACTTCCAAGAGGGCTGAGCACTGGTTTATCGAGATGCACATCAAGTCCGTCTTAACTTGGCTGGCAACTTTCCGATTTTTCACCAGGACGGTATGTCGAGGGACTTCGACGGGAGCACGAACATATCTGCGCTCGACTTCAATCCGTCCATTTTTTAGGGTAAGTATCTGGCCACGATGAGCTCGAGGCACCTGGAAGCCAATCCGCATTGGATCCTGCCGACAGGTCAAACTCACGGAGAAGATTCCTAACTGGAGCAATCTCTGGCAGATCTTTGCGGTAACAGAAGCACCTGATGACAAATCTCGTGGCACGTCGCCCACGATCGACGCTTGACCACGCTACAGGTTCTTCCTGCGCGCGGAACGGGCTGCGTTGATGTCCTAGAGCCCAATCAGTTCATAAGGGCTGGCTTCCATGAGGACGGGCTCGACGTTGCGCTGTGGGAAGAAGCCAGGCGCCCCCCGGGTTGACGACGACGCATGCCTCGTCTGCCACATGGGACACAAGACCAGGTATGGCATGATGGGGTGCCCAGAGTGCAAGGGCGAGATTATCTACCAGGCGGTACCGTGGCAACCTGATAAATTTCAACCCGCCATGGATTGGAGGAGTGCCGGTATGCTTAAGTATCTGAGGCCTGACCAACCGTTCCATGAAAGCGGCAGCAGGCAGCGGACGAGAGCGGCCCAGATACAAAACTCGGATCGCACACAGGCGCGCTGGCCCGATGACTGGAAGTTCGACAACCCCAGGGGGGCGCTGTCGCGCTACTACGCTGCCATGTCAGCCCAAACAGCTACTCTCTCAGCGGAAAGATCGGTGGTTGCCTGGGTTCCATCATCGCCTAACGACAAACGCCCTGTCCATGGCATTAAGGCCCGGGAGGTCAAAGGACACAAAATTGCTTGTAGGTGGATGATGTGCCAGCAGTATCGCGGCTGGCACCCTACTGGGAACACTGCAACATGCCCATCTTGGAAATGGTGGGCATCTCTCTCAAGACAGGTGGATCATATTGATTTCGGCACAGACATGGGCATCCTCGGCGTGTTCGACTGGGACACACGGACCCCGAGGCGCGAGAGAAGCCTGATCCAACTGCAGGATGGGGCAACTGGTGCTTCGATCATCGTGACAACGTGCCGCCGACATTGAACCAACTTTGGCAAGATATTCAGGAGGAAACCGACGTTCACTGGCCACCGAAAGAAGATGGCCGGCACCGAGGAAGAAGAAGAAGCATAACGCCTTCGGGGGACGCGAGCACGCCGCCCTGCCTCGGTCCGGCCGCCAGTCCCTGCCCATGGCAGGCGCGGCAGGTCGAATAGTCGGAGACGGCGTGTCCGATCAGAAGATGCGCCGAGAGCATTTGGAGGGCGCGCCATGCGCAGACGGGACAGTTCCCGCACCCCGCATCGCGGCATCCACCATGCTGACATCAGGCAACCCATCAGCAACTATCGCATCACGAGGGCGGCCCACGAGCTCGTTACGTACTTCGCCGTCAACGACGAGCCCGAAGAGTGCCACCAGGCGACTACCGTTGCCTCCTGCGAGGCGCAGATACGCCGCATATGGTACGAGCCGCCTGAATCCTCCGTTTACGATCCAGACCTGTACAACGTCAAGACGAAGTGGATGCCAGAACAAGTCTACATGGTTGCCATTGAGTTGACCACGTATTTTGACTGGACAGAGATCGACGGAGCGAATGCGGATGAGGACGCCATGCGTGCTCATCTCAAAGAAGTTGATCAGCACCGAACCAAATTGATGCGTGATATCAACATCTTGAGGCGCACCGCGACATGTTGGAGCGTGTACACAGAGACATTTACCAGAACAGAACGGACATGCCGCAAGTCTCCGCTGATGCGCGCAAGATCGAGGCGCGCACGCAGTTCCTGCTGCAGTCGCAGGCAGCGGCGCTCAGACGTGGCCTGCGGACAACGCCAGACAGCTTTCAGCGCGCAGCTGTTGAGCAGTGGCCGCTTCACGTGTACGAGGCTGCGGCGCATGCCCTGAACATGTGGCAACGACGTGGGGAAGGCGCCGCTCGAATCGGAAGAAGAGCGCCCCACCTCGCGAGTGCCCATGGCAAGGGAATATGGCGACATCAATCCCCGGCAACAACAGCCAGGGCAGCCCGCTCCGTCAGCCGCAAACGCCCCCTCAGTTCTTCCCCGGCACAGGGGGACAGCGGCCGCGTTCTCGCGAAAGGGGCACGGCAAAGGCAGCTCCTCGAGTGGCGCTGCTCCGCCGCCCTTGGAGGCGGCCGAGACGGGGAAGGGCAAGAGGCCCCGGGAGAAAGGGGGCAGCCGCGCGGCATCCCCATGACCGGTGCGTCCGTGCCACTATTCGGACATCCGCCAATCGGCTCAGAGCGGCGCCGCTTCATCATCGCCCCATCACCGCCATCCCGAGCCCGATCTGAGCCCATGACGTGACAGGAGGCAAAGCCGACCCCCCATCGATCGCGCCTGGAGCGCGCGGTGGGGCACCTCCAGCCGAGCCAGGAGCAAAGGGCTGGGCAAGGATGACCGCGGTAAGGGCGGTTATGAGAGCTGGGAAGATCGCCGCCATGACGACCGAGCCCAATGGCGCCACGATGGCGGATGGTACTGGTAGGCCCCAGGCGCCCATGGCGCGCTGGTGGCTACACCGGCGCAGGCACCGTGAGCGCATGGCTGCATGGTGATTACATGGTGGCGAGCTGGTCTGCTGGCGGCTGTGAGAGCCTCGCGCCCGTGCCTGCCTGAATCCGGCGCTGTCGGAGACGTTAGGTCCCGATGGTGCTACGTCGGCCATGGCCGGCCGCTGCGGCCGGGCCGCCGCGGGGGGAGTCTTTGCCATGCGTTCCCTGCCGCCGCATATGTGCATACATGCATATCCTTGAACAGTAAGTTGACCGCTCCCTAGCTGTTTGGGATCGGAGGGAAAAGGGAGCGCGCGCTTACAGCAACCTTCACCGCTCCCTATCCGCTGAACGGACAGTCGAACCTCATACTTCTACGGCTTCCGCCGTTATCTTGGCCGCCATGGTCTCCCGGGAATCCTCGAGCCCAAGACGACCCTTGGAACCTCTGCTGAGAGCGCCGAACTTACTACCTGTACATCCTGATGACAATGGCCCTGTTCGGCTTAAGTTGGGTAGAGATGCGAAGATGCAATGCGCGATTAGGGGCAACATTCTGCCCGCCCAAGCCAAACGCAGCTGCGCATCACAGAAAGCGCGAGATACAGAGCGGATGCAGGAACATGGGGGTGGGGGGGGGGGGGGGGCGACTGGGGGCGACCCAGAAGCCGATAACCAGGACAGACTTACAGCACGCCTGTCCAATCTGTAAGAGGAAACGCCGTTGAAGAGGAAGCCTGGAAGAATGAGCAGGCGCTGCGCAGTGCAGGACGCAACTTAACTGGCCTTGCTATCGGGTTCTGAGAAGATGCCAGGGAACGCCGGGGATCTACGTTCGAGCCAGGCAATAAGAGTGCCTTTCTCTTGCGGAAGTGAAATCTCGAAACAGCGAGATCAACATCGAAACTCTTCTGCCTGCTCTGCACATCTTGGCACTGCGCCAGCGTCCATCGTGAGAGATGTGCCCGCCATAGTGGCCCGCGCCAGATGGGAACGCACTTGCTTCAATGAGGTCGGCCACCAGTTGCCCGCGAAGCAGGCCGTGACCTTCCAGCGCGCGGCTTGCAATTGGGGGGCTGCGCTGAGTCCGCGGCGCCCTCTCCCGATTCCCGCTGCGGATGCGGAATCAGAGCCTGGAGAGCTTGACACTTGGGCAATGGAGGGCGCTCGTGTTCTGGCAGTGCGCTGTAGTCACCGGCGCCTTCTTAGGCGGCTCTCGCCCGCCTGGCCTGCATATGTGCGCTCATGTCTCCGTCGAACAGCCCTCAATGACTTCCACATTGGCTCGGGGATTTTTCTGGCTCGCGCATGATTTTAGTGTCAAGGGGGCACTCTTGTCAACTTATCGGGGATCCTGGTCAACTTCCCGGTGGTTGTTTTTCCTTGACATATTTTTGCGTATCCTGTTATTTGCATCTTGGCAAAACATGTCGTCCAATCGAACGACTCTCCCGATGATCGCAAGAAGCCGAACATCGCTCCCAAACCTGACAGCGTTGAGGACATGTTTACGGAGCTGAATGGCCTGATGGAAGGCCTCGGCGCGACGGTCGATGCAAGCCCTGCCAGCGCTCAAGAGGCCGACATTGAAGTATAATCCACGAAGCACGCTGCCTTCCAGATGTCGTTGACAATCGCTACCCTAGATAACGAGGCCAGCGAAACTGTTGCCACGGCGCAGCAGGGGGTCAAGCACATGCAGCGCGCAGAACCTTCGCCCGCACAAGCCGCACGGAGCGCGACTCCGACATCAGGAACAAGCAGGTGCTCGCGTCGGGCTTGAAGGAACATGCGAAGCAGGACCTCGCCATCGCCGAGATCGGGGCGACGCCAGCCGAACGAAAGGTTGGGCGACAACCGCGCCGCCGAGGTGGAAGCTGGCGCAGGCCCCGCGAAAATGGTGTTCGTCGCATTCGGGCGCATCTCACAACGGCGACTTCTACGAGGGGGCAGAGCAGATCAAGGGGGAAGATCGCGTAAAGCCCATATTCTTCGAAACGACCTCCCAGGCCGATATGCCGCCCCAGGCGCCCAAGATTGTCCAGGGAGGGTTTCGGGGGGGGGGGGGGGGGGGGGGGGGCGGGGGGCAGGTGCACGTTATGCGGCAGTTCTCAAACGGGTGATGTCTAGAGGGCCCCATAGAGTTGTGAGGCAGCTTAGGCTGGCTCCAGGAGCAGCTCGGAACGGCCCGCGAGAGCCCCGAACTACACAGAGAAAGCTCAACAGGGTTTCCCGGAGAGGTTCAGGACAGCACTGACAGGCCCAAGAAGGCCCAACATATTCCCACGACAGCCTGGCATGGCCCCGACTGCTGCCCAACCTCGGCCAACGTCGTCTCCCAAGCGCCCAAGGTTGCCCAAGAGGGCCCCGCGGAGGCCCAGCGCGATCCCGGGGCGGCGGGGGTGGCGGGGGGCAGGTGCGCGCTGTGCGGGGCCCGGCTCCAGCAGTGGTGCAGGTCTCCAAGAGGTGGCGTCCAGAGGGCCCCATGGAGTTGTGAGGCCGCTTGTGGTGGTTCCAGGAGCAGCCCAGAACGGCGCGCGAGGGCCCCGAACACCGCGAAGACAGCCCAACGGGCTTCCAGAGAGGCCCATGACGGCCCAATGGGGGCCCCGAGAAGGCCCAAAAGACCGCCCAGACAGCCCGGCATGGCCCCGACCCCAGGGGGAACGGGAGGGGCCGGCTCCAGCAGGGGGGGCAGGGCGGCTCAGGGCTCCACGAGGTGACGTCCAGAGGGCACCGTAGAGAGAGGTAAGACAGCTTGGAGTGGCTCCAGGAGCAGCCCAGAATGGCACACGAGAGCCCCGAACACCACAAAAACAATTTGACCGGGCTTCCAGAGAGGCTCAGGACGGCCCACGGCGGCCCCAAGACGGTCCAAAAAGGCAGCCAAGACAGCCCCGCACGGCTCCGATTGCTGCCCAAAGCGGGCCAAAATTGCTTCCGAAGCGCTTAATATTGCCCGGGAGGGTTTTCAGCGGGGCCCAGCGCGATCCCTCCGGGGGGCGAGGGGGCCGGACAGGCGGGGGGGGAGGTGCACGCTGCGTGGGCCCAGTTTCCAGCAGTGTGGGGGGGGGGCAGGGCGGCTCAGGGCTCCGAGAGGTGACGTCCAGAGGGCCCCGCAGTGTTGCAAGGCGGCTTGGGATGGCTCCAGAAGCAGCCCAGAACGGCCCACGAGAGTCCTGAGCACCGCAGCAGGGCTGCCAGAGAGGCCCATGACGACCCAGGGGGGCTCCAAGAAGACCCAAAAGGCCGCCAAGACAGCCCGGCATGGCCCCGATTCCTGCCTCAAGCTGGCCAAAATGGCACCCGAGGCGCTCGAGATTGTCCGGGGGGGTTTTCAGGGAGGCCCAGCGCGACCTCCGGTGGGGGGGGGGCGGCGGGAGGGGCGGGGGGCAGGTGCGCGCTATGCGGGCTCCAGTTCCAGCGGGGGGGGGGGGGGGCAGGGCGGTCCAGGGCTTTAAGAAGTGGTGTCTAGAGGGCTTCATAGAGTTGCAAGGCAGCTTGGGATGGCTCCAGGGGCAGCCCAGAACGGCTCAGGAGAGCCCCGAGCACCACAAAGACAGCCTAACAAGGCTTCCAGAGAGGCCCAGGACGGCCCACGGGAGCTCCAAGAAGACCCAGAAAGGCAGAAAAAAGCAGCCCAGCATGGCCTTGATTGCTGCCCAAAGCGGGCCAACATTGTCCCCGAAGCGGTTAAGATTACCCGATGTGGTTTTCAGGGGGGCCCAGCGCGACCCCCCTGGGGCGGGGGGGCGGGAAGGGCGGGGGGGCAGGTGCGCGCTGCGTGGGCCCAGTGTCCAGCAAAGGGGGGGGCAGGGCGGTTCAGGGCTCCAAAAGGTGGTGTCTGCAGGGCCTCGTAGAGTTGCAAGGCAGCTTGGGAATGGCTCCAGAAGCAGCCCAGAACGTTCCACGACAGCCCCGAGCACTGCAAAGTCAGCCCAGCAGGGCTGCCAGAGAGGCCCAGGACGACCCAAGGGAGCCCCAAGAATACCCAAAAGGCAGCCAAGACAGCTAGCTAGCATGGCCCCGATTGCTGCCCCGAACGGGCCAAAATGCCCCCCCCCCCTCTCCCCAGGCGCCCAAGATTGCCCACGAGGGTTTTCAGGGAGGCCCAGCGCGATCTCCGAGGGGGGGGGGGGGGCGGTGGGCAGGTGCGCGCTAAATGCGCCCCAGCTCCAGCAGGGGGCAGGGCGGCCCAGGGCTCCAAGGGGTAGCGTATAGGGCGCTCCGTAGAGTTGTAAGGCAATCTGGGATGGCTCCAGAAGCAGCCCAGAACGGCCCACGAGAGCCCCGAGCACCAAATAAACCGCCTAACAGGGCTTCCAGAGAGGCCAGGGCGGCCCACGGGAGCCCCAAGACGGTTCAAAAGGCAGCCAAGACAGCCCAGCATGGCTCCGATTGCTGCTCAAAGCGGGCCTACATTGTCTCCAAAGCGCTGGAGACCCGAGAAGGTTTTCAGGGGTGCCCAGCGCGACCCCCCGGGGAAGGGGCGGGGGGGCGGGGGGGCAGCGCGCCAGGTGGGCCCCGTCTCCAGCAGGGAGAGGGGCAGGACGGCTCAGGGCTCTAAGAGGTGACGTCCAGAGGACCGCATAGTGTTCGAAGGCAGCTTGGGATGGCTCCAGAGGCAGCCCAGAACGGCCCACGAGAGCCCCGAGCACCACAAAGTCAGCCCAGCAGGGCTCCCAGAGAGGCGCAGGACCACCCAAGGGGGCCCCACGAAGACCCAAAAGGCCGCCAAAACAGCCCAGCATGGCCCCGATTGCTGCCCGCGCCGCGGGAAATGGCGCCCAAGGCGTTCAATATTGGAAAGGGCGTGTTCTACCGCTGCTGGCGGAAAACTGGGTGCAGGTCACTGGGGGTTCCCAACCCGCCCCCTCCCCCCCCTTGAAAGCCGTGTGGGGGGGGGGGGTCACTGCCGGTTCGAACCCTTCCCCCCCCAGTCCATCATGAAAAGGGGGAGGGTCGCTGCTGGTTCGACCCCCCCCCTTCGAACACCACGAGGGGCCACTGCCGGTTCGAACCCCCCCTCCCCCCATCGAAAACGGTGGTGGTTGGGACATTGGCGAGGGGGCAGCGGGACAGTGGTGGGGGCAGTGGGACAGTGGTGGGGGCGGTAGTGGCGGGGGCAGTGGTGAAGGCGGTGGTGAGGACAGTGGTGGGACAGCAGTGCAGTGGGGAAAATGGTGGGGACAGTGGGGGCAGTGGGGCGGTGATGGGGACAGTGGGGACGGTGGGGCAGCACAGTGGGGCAGCGGCGGGGGCAGTGGGACAGTGGTGGGTGCAGTTGGGACAGTGGGATAGTGGTGGGGACCGTGGGGAAAGTGGGGAGAGTGGGACCGTGGTGGAACAATGGTGGGGAGTGGGGACTGTGAGACACTGGTGGGGGCACTGGGTGGGGACAGCGGGGACAATGGCGGGAACAGTGGGGACAGTGGGACAGTGGTGGGGACGGCGGTGGTGGGGACAGCGGTGTGGGGACAGTGAGAATGTGGTGGAAACAGTGGGACAGTGGAGGGTACAGTGGTGGTGGGGGACAGTGGTGAGGGCGGTGGCGAGGACGGCGGTGGGATAATGGGACAGAAGTACAGCGGGGACAGTGGTGAGGACAGTGGGGACAGTGGTGGGACCAGTGGGACAGCTCAGTGGACAGCGGCGGGGACAGTGGGACAGCGGGACGGTGGGGGGCAGTGGGACAGTGGTTGGGGCCGTGGAAGAAGTGGGGAGAGTGGAACCGTGGTGGGAACAGTGGTGGGGACATTGGGGACAGTGCGACAGTGGTGGGGGCACTGGTGGGGACAGGGGTGATGGTGGTGGGAACAGTGGTGACACTGGTGGTGAGGACAGTGGTGCTGGGGACAGCAGTGGGGGATGTGGCGCGGACGGTGGCAGGGATCCGGGAGTCGTTTGCTGGCGGTGAACGTGGGAGGGGTTCGAACCGGTAGTGACCCACCCCCTGGTTTTCGAGGGGGGGGTTCGAACTGGTAGTGACCCCCCCCAGATTTCGAGGGGGGGGTTGAACCGGTAGTGACCCCCCCCCTGGTTTTCGAGGGAGGGGGGGGTTCGAACCGGTAGTGGGTAGTGACACCCCCCGGTTTTCTGGAAGGGGGGGGAGGTTCGAACCAGTAGTGACCCCCCCCCCCGGTTTTCTCGGGGGGGGGGGGGTCGAGCCGGTAGTGACTCCCCCAAGTTTTCTGGAGGGGGGAGTTCGAACCGGTAGTGGCCCGGGCGGGGAATTTTCCACAGTAAAGCGGCGGTGGATCACGCTCTCTCCAATGCTGCCAAGGAGGACTTGCAGGGAGGCCTAAAGCGCGACCCCACGGAGGCGGGAGGGGCGGGGGGCGTTATGCGGGCCCCATCTCCATCCAGCAGGGAGGCAGGGCTCCAAGAGGTGAGCCCGGATCACCACAATGACAGCCCAACAGGACTTCCAGAGAGGCCCAGAACGGCCCAAGGGAACCCCCAGGAAGGCCCCAAATGCCGCCAGGACATCCAAGCATGGCCCCGATTGTTGTCCCCGACGAGGAAAATTATTTCCAAATCGCCTAGGATTGCCCAAAAGGATTTTTGTTCAGGGAAGCCCAGCGCGACCCCCCGGGGGCGGGGGGGGCGGGAGGGGCGGGGGGCAGGTGCACGCTATGCGGGCTCCGGCTCCAGCATGGGGGGGCAGGGCGGTTCAGCAGGGCTCCAAGAGATGACGTCCAGAGGGCCCCATAGAGTTGTAAGACAGCTTGGGGTGGCTCCAGGTTCAGCCCAGAACGGCCAACGAGTGCCCCGACGGCCACAAAGACAGCCCAGCAGGGCTTCCAGAGAGACCCAGGACGACCCAAGGGAACCCCAAAAAGGCCCAAACGGCCGCCCAGTCAGCCCAGCGTGGTCCCGATTGCTGCCTCAAGCTGGCCAATATGGCCTCCCAGGCGCCCAAGATCGCCCAAGAGGGCCTGCAGGGATGCCCGGCGCGACGCGAGGGGGGCGGGAGGGGCGAGGGGCACCTTCAGCAGGGGCGGTAGGACGGCTCAGGGCTACAAGAGGTGACGTCCAGTGGGCCCACAAGAGCTTCGAGAACCACAGAGACAGCCTAACAGGGCTTCCAGAGAGGCCCAGGACGGCCCACGAGAGCCCCAAGAAGGCTCAAGAGGCCGCCAAGACAGCCCAGCATGGCCCCGACCCAGGGAAAGCGGGAGGCGCAGGGGACGCTACACGGGCCCCGGTTCCACAAGGGGGGACAGGACGGCTCAGGGCTCCAAGAGGTGATGTCCAGAGGGCCCCATTCGTAAGACAGCTTGGGATGGCTCCAGGAGCAGCCCAGAACGGCTCAGGAGGGCCCCGAGTTGCACAACGACAGCCCAACATGGCTCCCAGAGAGGTCCAGGACAGCCCAAGGGACTGCTGAGCCATATCGACATTATGAAAACACATGTGCGCTCTAAACGTCTCTTCCTCCCCTTCCCTCCCTGTTCTCTCCTCCCTATCCTCCTCTTCCTCTCCTTTTCCTCCTCTCCTCCCTCTCCTCTTCCTCCCCTCTCCCCTCTCTGTCCCCTGCCTCCTCTCCCTATCCATCCCCGCTTTGCCCTTGGTATCGCTTCGGCTTCCCCTGCGTACCTAGGAGGAGGAGGGGGAGGAGGAGGAGGAGGAGGAGGAGGAACAGGAGGAGCAGGAGGAGGAGGAGCAGGAGGAGGAGGAGGAAAGGGAGGGGTAGGCGCTCAAAACACAGGTGCGTGCTAAACGTTGTTTGGCTGACATTATAAACGTTTTTTAGCTTCTTCTGACGTGCGCGCTGAACGCCCATAAAAACGCGTATGTAAAGCATTAGTTATTTGGTGTGCACTCTATACGACCCCCGTTTATAATGCACTTCAAGGTCCCCATATGCACTCTGTCTGTGGCTACTTGACTGTACCATTTTGAGATTCATTTGTGCGGCTCAACTGCGTCCATTAGGGATGGTTTGAGTCGCCGTAGCACAAAGGTGCTGTGCATCTGCATCTTTTGCACGGCGAGCCAGACAGTGGGAGAAATGTCTGCCGGGCGCCGCGTGCCCAGACGCATCCGTATACGAAACATTCGGAGCGATACCTAAACCAGGTTCGTCCGCCCGCGCGATTCGTGCTCGCCGGGCCGGCCGCGGGGGGGTTGATTTAGTCGTCCCCCAGGCCCGCTTCTGACCCGCAGTTTCGACGCAGCTATTGTGGATTGGCTCAAGTAAAAAGGATCGCGGCCCGCCCGCCCGGCGCGCGCGCCCTCCTGGGCGGTCTCCCCTGTCCGGCCGGCCCCCTCACATTCTGTTGCTAGCCCAAGCTTAACAGACACACTGCCGTACTCATTTAGCCATGGCATTGAGAGATACATCACCAACGTTGAGGATTAACCGCAGTCAGGGACTACTACATGAGAAAGATGTTTTACGAGACGATCATGATGACATTTTGCGTATCACTATGGCCAACAAGAGCTTATACCATCGATGAAGTGGCAGACTATTCAGGGGAAGGAGCAGGAGCAAGAGGAGGAGGAGGAGGAGGAGGAGGAGGAGGAGGAGGAGGGAGGAGGAGGAGGTGGAGGAGGAGGAGGAGGTGGAGGTGGAGGTGGAGGTGGAGGAGGAGGAGGAGGAGGAGGAGGAGGAGGAGGAGGAGGAGGAGGAGGAGGGAGGAGGAGGAGGAGGAGGAGGGGGGGGGGGGGGGCCAAGCCATTTTGGCTCAAGACCCTGCCCCATGTGCTTCATTTGCGGAGTGCGACAGCTGGGGGGGGGTGGCTGCGGCAGGCTGTTCGGCTGCCCCTGAGGCAGCGCGGCAGCCGTGCGCGGTCGGCTCCGCCTCGGCGTGGCCCGCGCGGCGCGAGCGCAGGCTGGCGGCGCGCCAGGCGGTCGTGGGTCGCTTGGCAGCTGCTCTCTCTCTCTCTCTCTCTCTCTCTCTCTCTCTCTCTCTCTCTCTCTCTCTCTCTCTCTCTCTCTCTCTCTCTCTCTCTCTCTCTCTCTCTCTCTCTCTCTCTCTCTCTCTCTCTCTCTCTCTCTCTCTCTCTCTCTCTCTCTCTCTCTCTCTCTCTCTCTCTCTCTCTCTCTCTTCTCGCGTGGCGTTGCTGGAGGGCGAGCTGGTGCGTGCGCGCGCGGCGCCAGCTGTCCTTGCGCGTGCTCCCGCCGCCGACCTCGAGGCTAGGATCCAGGCAGAAGTCGAGCAGCGCCTCGCCCTCATCGAACCGTGCATCGACCACGGGTTCAGGGCGGCCATGCAAGAGGACGAGGAGGTGCGGGAACTCACGACGACTGTTCCCCCGAAGTCCCGCCCGCTGGTCGCGGGGAAGAGGGGCGCGGCGGCGCGCCAGGTCAGGGTGCGGGCCGCCGACATCGCCAAAATGACCCAAAAGGAGCTCAACGCTTCGCAGCGCGGGGTTCGGAAGGCGGCGAGGAACCCTGGGGCGCGGCGCGCGACGCCCAGGCGCCAGCCGCCCAGGCGCGTGCCTGCCAGCCGCTCGGCCGCCGAGGCGGCCCCGTGCAGGTGGGCGGTCGCTGCGCGAGGGGGCCGCCGCGGGGCGCGGAACGCGCCACCCAGTGGGCAGCCTGTCCTCCCAGCGCCTCCGCCCCTGGCGTCGGGGGCCTGCTGGTGGCCTTGGGATGCCGAGGCCGCGGGGCGGGGCTTCGCGGGCGGCGCTGAAGGACCAGTCGCCCAGCTCGACAAGTCTTCGACCACGCCTGGAGATGCTGATCCACCTGGCGCGGCCCCTCCTGGCGAAACGGATGCTCACGCCAGGCTGCCTGGAGGCCCTGGCCACAGCGGGGAGGGCGGCATTGGGCGCTCGCGGACTGCCGCGGACGCGCGGGTGGCCGATGCGTTCTGCAGCGCCCAGCTCAATGCCGAGGCCGCCGACGGGCGGGTGGCCGAGACCATCCGCGGTTCGAGCAACGCCCCCCCGCAAGGCCAGGGAACCTTCGATCGGCCCTTTCCTGCGCGGTCTCGCAGGTGTGCTTCCCGTTCGCGGCTTGCTTTCCTGACGGGGTTTGGCCTGGTGGAGGGGGCCGCGGAAACCTTCCTGGAGGAGCGGGCCTGTCGGGCGACGGACCCCCTCGCGGGCCGCCAGAGGCCGAGGCCGGACCTTGCGCCGTGCCCCCCGGAGGGCCACAGGATGCTCCCAGGGCCGGCCGTGGAGATGGTGCTGGGGCCTCGCGGAGGCGCTTGGCGGTGTTCCGCGGTCACTTCCTGTTCGGCGAGGCCGTCCAGTTCGGGCCTGCGCCGTTGGCAGCTCGAGCAACACGTTCGGAGAAGGAGTTCCACGGAGAGCTCTCTAAGGCTTTCGTCGACACCGTCGCGCAGGCCGCGTGCCCAGGTGGGCATCGGCTTCATGTGGCGTCGTGCAGCAGGCCGGAAAGATGCAGGAGCTGCAGGTGCCGCATCGTCGGGCCGCACGTGGTGAGTGAGGGAGGCTTCTTGGCTTGCCGTCGCTGCGCTCTCGCCGCCACCTGCAGCGCATTATAAGTGCCTGGGCATTTTGCAGCTCGCACGTTTGTCTGGGGTCCCGGGGCTCTGGGGTGTTTCCTGTGTTCCTGGTCTGGGCCTCGTGGGCCCCCGCGTTTGGGGGCTTCGGTTTTGTCCTGGGGCGTTTTCGGGCGTCTTGGGCCTGGTGTTTCCCTCGGGGCGTTCGGTTCGGCTTTCCTGGGCCTGGGCTCTTGGGTCGGGCCGTCCCCGCGGGGGTGGGGCCTGGGTCGTCTCAGATCCCGATCGGGATTTGGGAGTGTCCTCGCGCCTGTCATGCGCCCACGTGTGGGGCATTTCGTCGTAGGCGTGGTTGGCAATGCCCTGCGCCTAAATTGAATATAATAAAATAGAATAGAATAGAATAGAATAGAATAGAATATAGTAGAATAGAAAGAATAGAATACAATATAATAGAATATACTATAATATAATATAATAACATAGATTATAATATATTAGAAGAGAATAGACTAGACTATACTAGAACATGATAGGATATACGATACTATAATCGAATTAGAATCGAATATAGTATCATATAATATTATCTAATAGAATAGAACCGGCTAGACTAGACTAGACAAAACTAGACTAGATTAGACTAGACTAGATTAGATTAGACTAGACTAGAATATAATAGCATCGCATATAAACTAATATAATAGAACATAATATAATAGAATATAGTATACGACTTGAGAACATATTAGAATATACTATCCTAGACTGTAATAGAATATAATGGAATATAAGTTAATACAATATATCAGAATATAATATATTCGAATACAATAGAATATATTAGAATATAACAGAATATCATAGAATATATGAGAAAATAATATAATATAATATAATATAATATACTATAATATAACATAATATAATATAGTATAATATCATTCTATATCATATAAGAGAATAGAGTAGAATCGAACATACTATAACATATTATACTATAGTCGGATAGACTAGAATATAATAGAGTATACTAGACTAGCATATACTATGATATACTAGAATTTACTGTCATATAATATAGTAGAATAGGATGTAAAACAATAGAAGAGAATAGACTGGGGTTGGGTAGGGTAGGGTAGGGTAGGGTAGAGTAGAGTAGAGTAGGGGAGGAGGAGAAGGAGGAGGAGGAGGAGGAAGAGGAAGCGAAGGAGAAGGAGGAGGAGGAGGTGAAGGTGGATGAGGAGGAGGTGGAGGAGGAGGAGGAGGAGGAGGAGGAGGAGGGGGAGGGGGAGGAGGAGCAGCAGCAGGAGCAGAAACAGCAGCAACAGGGGCAGCAGGGGCAACAGGGACAGCAGGGGCAGCAGGGGCGGCAAGGGCAGCAGGAGCAGGAGCAGGAGCAGGAGGAGGAGGAGGAGGAGGAGGACGAGGACGAGGATGATGATGATGGGGAGGAGGAGGAGCAGGAGGAGCAGGAGCAGGAGGAGCAGGAGGAAAACGAGGGTCGCAACGGGAGGAACAAATCACGAAATAGCATGATGAATGCGATGGGCAGGAGGACGAGGGGGACTTTCAGACGGGGAGGGCATTTCTCCTCGCCCCGCTCCTTGGGTTCTCTGAGCCAGTCACGTGGCAGGTTGCGCGCGGCAGGTGCGCATCCCTTCCCCCTCCCCCCCTCCCCGCCTCTTCTCCTCCCCTTTCCTCCGCTTCTTCCATCCGCTCCCTAACCCAGACGCATCCCTGATGCAGGCGGCGGCGGTGCCGTCGAGCGGTTGGACCCGTTGCTGAACCCGCTGAGGGCTGTGCTGACCAGCTTTTCATGCGACAGCTGCGGACTCTTCGACCCCGACGGAGCGCGCTCCTTACTACATTGGGCCGGAGGGGGAGCATATACGGATACCGCTCCATTTTCTGGATGCGGTCCGAAGTCCTGGTCAGTACGCACTCTGGGACAGTACTGCGGAGTAGCGATATCGGTGTTTTGTTGTTCACCTGCGCGGGTGCGACGATGGAGGGTCAGGGAGCGAGGGACTGAAGCGGTAATGGCAGGGACATGGTAGAGTGTCTTGATCCAGTGTGTGGTGCCGTCGTCCTTCAATCACACCGTGTTTCACCCATCCTGCTAGGTGATCTACTTCTCGTCCTGCTGCTGCTGTTCCTGCTCATGCCTGTGCTCCTGCTCCTCTTGGTCGTCCACCCCTCCTCTCGTCGCCCCGTCGTCGTCGTCGTCGTCGTCGTCGTCGTCGTCGTCGTCGTCGTCGTCGTTTTTTTTATTTTTATTATTTTATTCGCGTTCGTCGCTTGTCGTCGTCGTCGTCCTCGTCGTCCATCGTTTGTCGTCCTCGCCGCCGTCGTGCGTCTTTTTCGTCGTGCGTCGTCGTCGTCATTTTCGTTGGCCGCCTGGACCTTATGACCCTGCGCGGGCATGCGCGAGGCCAAACTAGAATCCTAGGATTACGCCCTACTCCCCCTCCCCCTGGCTTCAGAGCAGGTTTGGTCCGCAGTGCCCTGGCTCTGATCGGGGGATGGCCGCAAGTTCCAAATTATCTTGACCAGTGGGGCGGGGGTCACCCTGCATCTTCGGCTGTAAGCCTGTCCACGAGCGTTTCGCGAGCTTTGAGACGGATATTGCTCCGTCGGGTGTTCCTTCCTCTCCTCTCCCATCCTGGTCTTCTCCTCTCGTTGCTTCAGAGCATGGCCAGTCGAGGCCAGGCCCAGGGGCTGCACAGGGCGGACCTGCCAGGGTGCAGGGCATGGGATTCGAGAGGTTCCCGAGGATGCCTGGCGCTCCACGGGCGCAAAATGCGCGGAGCGGGTCGGCAGTCTGCGGGCATCTGCTTGTGGGAGAGCTGCAGGCAGCTGACGAGCGAACACGCAGCCCCAGTGGACCCCACCGAGAGGGTGCTTGCCAGGAGGCGAAGCGACAGGGCGGCAGCGCGCGCCAGCCTCGGCGCCAATGGCGGAAGGAGGGGAACATCGGACGGGGCTAGGACGAGGATGCCTCCGTTCCAGAGCGTTCCGAGAAGGCCGCGGCGCCCGAGACACCCTCCAGAGCCGTCAGATCTCAGAGATTCTCGATCTATCTTCGCCCGAATTTGTCCTCGTCCTGGCTTTGTCTGAAGAAGGGGGCGGAGGGAAGAGGGGCGCGGAGGAGCCGCCGCCGAAGCGAGTGCACGGCAACGGCCACAGGCGGCGGCGGGCTGGTTTGGGGGCACCAGGCTGGTCAAAAGCTGGCCGCGGGCTTCAGTCGGGGGAGCGTAGGACTCGAGTTCGCCGGAGCTCGGGTTCGCCGACGTTTCTTGACGGGCCCGTCCTGGGTTGTGGCGGTCTAGTGTTCGCGGGATGTTTGCAGCGGGAGCTCGCTTCAGTTTCCCGACTGGGTCTCGTCATTCCTCAGGCGGCCCCGTCAGGCGAGCCCGAGTCCCCCGAACCCGAGTCTTGCGTCTCCCCGATCCAGGAATGACGAAACCACGCGCCAGGGGCGAGGTAAACGCTCGCGTGCGACGAAAAGTCGCGGGTTGGGCGACGCCGCAGCCGCCATTGGAGGGGGGGCCAGGGCTACGGGAACAATCAGGGGCTGCCAGAGCGTCCCGGAGGCAGGTGCTGACACGTCGTTGCCACTCCGCGGCTGAGCCTGCCAGGGATTCGCCACGCCGGTCGCCTCATAGGCCCGTCGTCGGGCTGGACGGCCAGTCGGGCCTTGGACGCGTCTTGGTGTTACTCCTGTCATCACCCCACGCTTGCTTGCCGCCTCCGCCATTGCCAGAACCTGATGGACCTTGCCCTTGAGGTTCCCGGAGGTGGCTTTTCAGTCGACGGAGATGCTGGCAGTGCGCGACCACAGGTAATGTCGTAGTTGACGCGTTTGAGGTCGGCCAGGATAAGAGTGCAGTGGTTGTCTGTGCGCCGTGTGGCGTTCTATTTGTATGACGCCCCAAGCAAGCAAACCGGTGATCGGGCGCGGGATATTCGAAGTAGGGCCAAAAGTGTGACATCAAACCAAAGCGGAAGTACGAGTGTAAGTCAGAGGAAATGGGAAGATCAAACAAGTGGAACATTCTGCGTTCAATTTTCATATTAAGATGTTTCCATTTTTGAGCAGAAATTCCAAGTCTGGGCCACAACTGTCAACTTCTATTCAACTTCAAACATGTGCACATGCTTTTTCAAACATACATGTTTTCATGCTTCTAAATGTTCAAACATGTGAGCATGTATTCAATCTGTTTTCAAGTTTAAACTTTGATTCAAACCAGGGTAAACTTATCTTATTTTTCAACCTTCGCATGCTTCAAACTTTTTCCAAGCTGTTTCAAAACTTCCAGAATTTGGCAAACTGTTCTAAACTTCC